ATGGAGATGCCCGATTTCACTTTCCAGCAGGACTTGACATCTGCCCACACAGCCAAAAGTACCAATACCTGGTTTAATGATCATGATATCACTGTGCTTCATTGGCCAGCAAACTCGTCTAACCTAAACCCCATAGAGAATCTGTGGGGTATTGTCAAGGGGAAGATGAGAGACACCAGACCCCACAATGCAGATGAGATCAAAGCAACCTGGGCTTCCATAATACCTCAGTAGTACCACAGGCTGATCGCCTCTATGCCATGCCTCATTGAGACAGTAATTCATGAAAAATGACCCCCAACCAAGTATTGAGTGCATACTATACTGTACATGGACATTTCACTAAGCCAAGATCTCTGTATTTAAAGTCCTTTTTTTGGTCTAATTTTCTGAGATACTGAATTTTGCAGTTTTCACTAGCTGTAAGCCATAATCATCAAAATTAAAAGAAGGAAATGCTTGAAATATATCACTCTGTGTGTAATGAATCCATATAATATACAATGCTCAACAAATTAAAGGAACTTTTAATCAGAGTATAGCATCAAGTCAATTAAACTCCTGGGATAATGAACTGGTCAGTTAAGTAGCAGAGGGGGTTGTTAATTTCATTAACACCAAAGCAGCTGATTAACAGGTGCATTAGATGGGCAACAATGAGACAATACCCAAAACAGGAATGGTTTTACAGGTGAAGGCCACTGAAATTTTATTCCTTATCTGTCTTCTCTGACTGTCTTTCACTAGTTTTGCATTTGGCTAGGGACAGTGTCACTACTGGTAGCATGAGGCGATACCTGGACCCTACAGAGGTTGCAGAGGCAGTCCAACTCCTCCAGGATGGCACATCTATACATGCCATTGCCAGAAGGTTTGCCGTGTCTCCCAGCACAGTCTCAAGAGCATGGAGGAGAATCCAGGAGACAGGCACTTACTCTAGGAGAGCTGGACAGGGCCATAGAAGATCCTTAACCCATCAGCAAGGCCAGTATCTGCTCTTTTGTGTAAGGAGGAACAGGATGAGCACTGCCAGAGCACTACAAAATGACCTCCAGCAGGCCACTGGTGTGAATGTCTCTGACCAAACAATCAGAAACAGACTTCAGGAGGGAGGCCTGAGGGCCCGACGTCCTCTAGTGGGCTCTGTGTTCACTGCCCAGCACTATAGAGCTCAATTTTCCATTATCATAGAGCACTTGCCATTGAACACCAGAATTGGCAAGTCCGCCACTGGCACCCTGTGCTTTTCACAGATGAGAGAAGGTTCACACTGAGCTCGTGACAGATATGAAAGGGTCTAGAGAAGCTGTGGAGAACATTATGCCATTATGCTGCCTGTAACATTGCTCAGCATGACCATTTTGGTGGTGGGTCAGTGAAGGCATATCCATGGAGGGACGCACTACAGGCTACATGGACCTCTACAGGCTACTGTAATGGTACCTGACTTCCATTAGGTATCGGGATGAAATCCGGACCCATTGTCAGACCCTATGCTGGTGCAGTGGGTCCGGGGTTTCCTCTGGTGCAAGACAATGCCCGGCCTCATGTGGTGAGAGTATGCAGGTAGTTCCTGGAGGATGAAGGAATTCATACCATTGAATGGCCCCCACACTCGCCTGACCTAAATTCAATAGAACACCTCTGGGATATCATGTTTCAGTCCACCCCATGCTGCCAGGTTGCACATCAGACTGTCCAGGAGCTCAGTGATGCCCTAGTCCATATTTGGGAGGAAATACCCCTGGACACCATCTGTTGTCTCATTAGGAGCATGCCCCGATCTTGTCAGGCATGCATACAAACACAAGCGGGGGCCATACAAACTACTGAGTACAATTTTGAGTTGCTGCAATGAAATTTCAGCATAACTGACTAGCCTGCTGCATCATTTTTTTTCACTTTGATTTTCGGGGTGTCTTTGAATTCAGTCCTCTGTAGGTTGACAATTTTAATTTCCATCAAACAATGGGGCATCCTTATGTTCCTAACACATTACCCAGTCCATATCAGTATAGATATCCAACATGATATTTTTTTCCCCATTGAGATCTGACGCGTCTTCAAAGTCTTCCTTTAATTTTTTGAGCAGTGTACAAGTTTTACTTTTGAATTGAATTACTAAAATAAAGTAACTTTTTGATATTCTAATTTATTGAGATGCACCTGTACATGTCTTTTGTTTAGAAGTGTATTTTTATTTTTTATGCCCTATTAAAAAGTGTTTAAGTGGTTTTTACACTGAGAAGTGCTCTATCTGCTTATCTTGCATGTATAAGCTACTATCTACTGTGAATTTTACCATATACCCAATGAGCGATACCGGTGACCATTATTGGGATTGACACAGAGAGTTAACATCATGGTGGAGCATATGGAAATTTTATGACCACTCTGAATAAGGGGGTCTTTTTATCTGGTAAGCCTGCATCTTAAGCTGGCCATACACATATAGATTTTCATTTAAGAATTTTAGTTTCAAGAATATTCGTTTGATTTTCTAACACTTAGTCGGGTCAAATCGATGTTTGTTTTGGTCAGCAGTGATGGGAAAATTTGAAGGGTCAGTGTCAGGGATCCTGTCGCCGTGCAGCCGTGCGACAGCGAAGGATCTTCTCGGGCCGTGGCGGTGCGAGTGCGCATGCGCGGGCGAGCATGTGCAGAAGCGCGGAGGTGCGCACATGAGCAATAGCGTATGCGTCACCGCTAGGCGGGCTATTTAAACCTGCAGAACAGTAAAATCAATGCCTTCTGGTCTACAACGGCCCTGCACATATTACCTGATTCTGTTGCCTATATCCTGAACTGACCTGACTAAGAAAGAACTCCGCCTGCACCGACCTCGGCTATCCCTGACCACCCGCTTGCCTGCTCCCTTGTACTTGATCTGCTCGCTTAATACTGACCCGGCTTGTCTGACCCTGCTGCACCTACTTACCTGTACTTGCACCTGGCTTGCATCCTGACGGCTGCCATACTTACCTGCTGCTGCACCCACAGTCCTGTACCCGCCTGCATCCTGGCCACAGCCATACCTCCCTGCTGCCGCATCCCTGCTCCTGTGTCCAGTCTGCATCCTGATTGCCGCCATACCTGCCTGCTGTTGCACCTACGTTCCTGCATCCACACATGGCCTGCATCCAGATCTCCTGGGTCCCCAGCTACCTGAAGCCAGCTCCAGATCTACCCGGCACTCGTGCCACTCCTGGCTCTGCACCCTCTGTTCCCACTATCAGGGGCTCCGTGCGGGACTCGTAAGAGGACGCCTTCTCATCACATCAGGCTCCCCAAGCAGGTACGTGACAGGTAGAAAGGAAAACTTCTTGATCAAACAGATTTTCGGCCAGTATATGTGGTTTTCATTTAGAATTTACATTCATTTTAAACTCGAATGTTAAAAGCAAAAGAAAATTTTCAAACGACATTCGTCCATTCACTGAATGTTCAAAGAAAGAACATTGAATTCGGACAGATTTTGATTCACCCACTGTTGACTTTTGTTTCTTATTTTCCAATATGTATTTATATTTTGATTGCTTTGATACACGTATTCAGTTAACTTTTACTGATTCTATTATTAACCGCTTTTCAACCGCCCTATAGCAGAAATACTGATACAGGGCAGCACAGGTGCCCAAAATCACATATATATACGTGATTTTGCATTTCCGGGTAGGGGGCGCCGCCATTCACGGCCACGGCTCGGCTACTCGTTCAGTTATTTCTGAGAATCATCGACAGGGAGGAGGAGAACTGTTTTGTTTACTAACAGTTCTCCCTGTCAGCTTGGGTACACTGCTTTGGATGGCTGTGCACAGCACAGCCATCCACAGCAGTGTGCTTACAGTGAAGCACACTGACACAGGCCACTAGTAAAACACTCCCCAATTATCTTTTTTGAGCATCGTATGGTCAAGATTAGTTAACGCAAATCCTACAAAGTGAGAAGTGGATCTACAGATTTCCACACTAGGCATGATAAAGTGCAGAAGAAGGAAGAGTTTAGAAGGATAGGAAAAATTCCAAAACATGATATATTTTCTGAAAGCAGAGACCCTGGAGAATAAAATAGCGGTAGTTCCAATTTTTTATGTCACACAATATTATCACAAAAGGTCAAAGTTACAAAATTTCACCTGCTAATCTCATCCATATGATATGGCAATGTCCCAAGTTACACGATATTGGCAAGGGGTATTAGCCACTATTTACACTGTTTCAGGTAAGTCTGGCAACAGATCCAAGTATTTGCTTATCAAGTATCTTGGATGAGTCTGCTCTGCCTGACAGTACTTATATACCGATCGTTAAAGTCCTCTTTCAAGCAAGAAAGTTAATCGTGCAGAAATGGCCAATTACCACATCCCCCTACTTGAGAGGAATGGAAAGCCCAAAATTAACACTACCCTGTCTAGAGAGAAACCTATAATTTCAGCACAGGAAATGCCCCACACGAATTAAAAAGATATGGGATGTGTGTTCAGCTACCCCTGGACTGGATCCAACCCTGCTTATTCTACATAGGATTATAGTACTTTGATTGACCTGCTGGAGGACATGTGTCAAACATGCCTGTCAATGAGATGGACACCACCCTTAAGAGTTCTTATGACTTGGGCATGGATGTGTCGGAGATGCTCCCAATAACTAGATAGGAATATGGCTTGTGATATATGATACTGTATTGCAGATATAAAAGTTACAAAAGCCATCTATGTTCATTTTCTTGTTTTTGTTTATATTTGACAGCATGTTAGTCTGTAACTTCAGAATGCTGCGCAAAGAAAATTTTGTAGCAAAAAAGTGAAGATTTTTACATTTAGGAGAGACATGTCAGAATAGGCTCGGGAAGCAGGTAATTAAGAGTCCCAGTTCAAAAAATTAGTTTTAGAGCATGGTAACCTTGATATTCGTGTTGCTGGTTGTAATTACATGTACAGTATCTTGAATAAAAATAAAATGTTTACAATATACCATTCAGTCAAAGTTGCCTTTCCTACCTCTTGTTTCTATATGCGTTGCCTGTATTGATGGAGAACTTGACTCAGTAGACACAGAATCTGTGAGTCTGTGCCCAGCACACATAGACTTCAGCATTTGAAAAACAGCCAAAGGAGCCACATTCATCTTTAGTAAATCCACAAGAATTCTGTTTAAAAACAAAGGAAAAAATAAACATTGAATGAAAACATCTAGAGTAAATGTACAGAGATGAAAAAGAACTTTGCACATTAATAGTGTCTCCAGTTTTCAATCTACACTACTTTTTATTCACTCCCCACCTTCCTATGTCCAGAAATGATTCTCAGGATTTGTATTCAGGATTGCACCACCATGTTTGAATCTTCCCAATGTTTAAACCATCTCGCCCTTGCAAATGTCTGTAATAACCAAAAGTCACATTGATTTGGTGATTGGCTTTATTTAGTTGGATGGATTGCTCAAAAAAATGGTTTACAAAGAAGTAAAAAAGGATGTCGAAGGATCTCAAATAATACAATGACTCAAATTACAAATGTCTTTGCTATCTATGTCAGCCAGTTGGGAAGGACAACTTCCACTTCCGATCGCCTAGGCGATTGCAGCGGAAGTGGGAGCGGGTACCTATCAAATTCGGGTACCCGCTCCCCAAAAGGTGCCAATCCTTAATGGGGAGCGGGGGAAAAAAAAAAAGGCTTAAAGCGGAACTTCCACCTTTTGGGTGGAGCTCCGCTTTAAGGAACAAATGCTACTCATACACAAGAATTTCACTTGTTCATTTCACAGACTGAACAGGAGAAATCAATAGATTCCCCCATTCATGTTAAGCAGCATGGATGGAGGAATCCCCCCTGCCTGGCTATTGTGTTCTGACAGCCAGCACTGGGGGCTGTCAGAATACCCAGACAATTGCTGCAGACAGTACATCCGCAGCCCTCCTTGCCATTCAGCCCTGTTTCCACACATATAAGACTGAGCACTGTTAAAAGACAGCCTGCAACCTGCCATAGCCACAAGCTAGTTATGAGGAAAGAACTATAGTAGTAGCTAGTGACTTGTGCTGTGTGAATGACAGTCACATAAACAGAAGCCAACAACTTCTCACACCAGCAGCTACATTTTTAGAGAGCCGGTGTGTGCTGTTGTCAGCTTGAGTTTTTGTGAATGACACCCGCGGGCCACCAGCTTGCGGGCTCAGTCTTTAACCGCCTCCCGCCCGCCATATAGTAAAATGACGGACGCAAGGCGGTTCTCTCGATCTGTGTAGCCCTAGCAGTACCACCTGTCAGTGCCCATCAGTGCCAGCTGTCAGTGCCCATCCACATTTCAGTGCCTACCAGTGCACATCAATGCCACATATCAGTGCCCATCTGAGCTGCCTTTCAGTGTCACCCATCAGTGCCGCCTATCAGTGCCACCTAACAGTGCCAGTCAGTTCCATATGAGTGCTGCTTTCAGTGCCCATCAGTGATGCCTGTCAATGCCACCTAGCAGTGCCCATCAGTGCCACCTATCAGTGCAGCCTATCAGTGCCCATCAGTGCAGCCTCATTAGCGCACATTAGGGAAGGAGAAAAATCACTTATTTACAAAATTGTATAAAACTTTTTTTTTTCAAAATTTTCAGTGGTTTTTGGTTTGTTTAAGAAAGAATAAAAAACCCAGAGGTGATTAAATACCACCAAAATAAAGCTCTGTCACAAAAAAAATGATAAAAATTTCATATGAGTACAGTGTTGCATGACCGCGCAATTGTCATTCAAAGTGAAACAGAACTGAAAGCTGGAAATTGGCCTGGGCAGGAAGGGGGTATAAGTGCCCTGTAGGCTAGTGGTTAAAAGAAGAACTCCGGGATAGACAAAAAAAAAAAAAAATCACCCATTAGCACACTCCCCTACACAAAACACTAAGCAATTAATAGAATTTTGAAAATCCTTACCATTTAGGAGTAAAGTCTAATTGAATTTTTAAGATCTCATCTCTGTATTAACAAGCGTCTGCTCTGCCAAGGAGGTGTAACAGCAGGGATTACATCATATCCTTTCCTCTCTCTTTGCAGAGGAAGGAAACTACAGTTCCCATCAACCACAGGAATTGTACAGTAAATGTGGGCAGGTACACTAAGCCTGTACATGTTAAATGTGTCTAAGAGTCACGGTCCGCCCAGCACTGCAAGTGGGGCTGAATTACGTCACTGCTTCATGGAGAAAAAGAATACAGGAGGGATGTGCCAAGACCAGGGGCTGGGGGAATAGGAGGCATTGCAGCCACTGGTCTTACAAACAGGAAACTAAACAGAATGAATGGTATGATTTTAAAATGAATAGGCTATTTCAGGGCAACTACTGAGTGAACCAGAAGATGGATGACATATTCAGTGAAGGTAGGAAATTAGCAACAAGGACATGTAAAGAAGTTTTTGTCTGGAACTGCGCTTTAATAGTAGCAGAGAATATACATCTTCAGAATGGAGATGAGGCTGTGGGAGGTTGCAGTCTGATCTTTTAGCTGTAAAAATGGAGCAGAGGAAGCACAGGATCCATGGCAAGGAGGGCTGCAGAATTGAGTTGGGGCTGTGCCTTCAGTGATGTGATCTCCAATGGAACACCCATAACTTGGGCTTCTGCGTGGGGTGAAGCTACTGACAGTAAAAAAAAAAAAAAATTTTTTTTACATACCAAAAACACTGCTTTTTACAGGGAAGTTCTATGTGCACTGGGTCTCCCGTGGGATTTAACAAACCTTTTGAAACTTTCAGTGAGAATTTTTAGGCCCGGTTCACACTGCTACGACTCCAAAGTCATGCGACTTGCTTGTGACTTTTATGATTTACCAATGCAGTTTATGGCACTCTAGCTGTACCAAAGTCGTAGAAAAGTAGTGCAGGAATTTTTTTGTTGCTGCTGCAACTTGCACCGCATTGATTACGATGGCACTCATTGAAAACAATGTGTTTTGACTTGTCATGCGACTTTATGTGTTGCAGGTCACATTATAAGTCGCAACAGTGTGAACAGGAGTTAAAGAATTCATTGTTTCACGAAGCACAAAGAGGTGAACTAACTCTAAATATCCAGGCTGTGATGCCTGTGCGGTCGGTGTAGTAGTCCATACACCACAATACACACCCCAGAGAAATCCAGTATAACGCTCGCAACGACAAGCGCTCGTTGGTCAGAGCAGTCACATGATCATGTGACGTGAGTCTGATTCGTCTTCTTCCGGGAAGGTGTTCTAAAAGAAAGAAGTGGTTCACATTGATCAGCACGGTCCCGCTGACTAATGAGCACTTGCCACTGCAAGAATGATGAAAACTTGCTCTGTAATGCTGTGTACAGACCGCAACATGTACGGCACGGGCCATCAAGCTGGCTATGTGAACTTCTCCCCCCCCCCCCCCCCCCCCCTCCGCAATGCTTTTATTTTTATGCTTCTCATTTTCAGATGGCATGTTATGTGCAGGATCCTCTTCTCTACAGACAGTGTCACTGGCAATACAAGGATATCAGTGCCATTGCCTGCATCACTGTATGGGAGTGCCAGGGTGACACTGCACAGGGCAGGTTCATGATGACACACGTTCACAGGACACAGAGGGGACATGTCATACGACACTCCCAGAAGTGTCAAACACAGAAGATCTCTCAGCTAGTGTAAAGCCTTTACACACAATGAGAATATCGGAAGAATGATCATCCATTGCTTTTTGCATGCTAGTCTCATATCTAAAGTGAAGAGGTTAAAAAAGTTACAAAAATTCTTGGACAACAGAAAGAAAATACAGAAGTGATGTCAGTCGAAAATTGTACGAGAAAAAATTCCGTGCTTTTCCCTTCAACAAGTTTCAGACGAAATCTGTGTACTAACAATCAGATTATCATATTATCGCTTGGAAAGCGGTAGTTTTCGTACGATTTTCTGATCATGTGTACTAGGCTTTAACTCCTCCAGATGATGGCGATCAGCGGCATGGGCCATGGTAAGTGGAAGTAGAATCCTTTTCTTTGCAAACATGGGATTTGGCTTCAGTTTGAAGAAAGGGACAGGTTCTCTTTAGTCCAGCCTTGTTGCGGTTGTCCCCATACTGCAGCGTTGTCACTCTCAGACAGGAAGTGTGTCACTGGCAGAAACAGCAGATGAAGATAAAGGGGGGGAAAGCCTAAACCAGAAAACATGCAGCCCTGCCATCTAGAGCCTGGGATTGTACAATATCATACATTCTGCTGGGTGTGGATTCACTGAGAACAATGGCTGTACACTGAGGGAAGAGGGGGTGATGACGAACACCGTGCCTTCTATATAAAGCCTGTGATGTGGCCAGGTCCCCCGGTAATAATGTCCCCTCTCAGTGTAGTCAGGCGCAGGCCTCTACTTACTTGAAGACCTCCTGATCCATGACGATCCCGGCCGCCTGCGCCAATTCGGACAGCTCGGCCTCCTCCGCACTCAGCACCTTCTTCTTCTTGGTGACGAATTTCTGGACGGAGCCGCTCACCGTCACCACCGCATCCTGGGGGGCGGCCATGGCACACACCGCTCACCTCACACGGCTCCGGCTTTCCCGCCCAAGGCCGCCGCCGTCATACGATGACTTACATGTCGCCTAGCAACCCGGCACCAACACAACATTATACTGTGTGCAACCTCCGCCGGAAAACAGAGCCAGAGCAGAAAGGTTCCGTGCTTTATTGAAGCTGCCACTGGTTGGAGCTGTCCACTGCTGAATAATGAACAATATTAACCACTTGCCCTCCAGAGGATTTACCCCCCTTCCTGACCAGGCCATTTATTGCGATACGGCGCTGCGTTACTTTAACTGACAATTGCGCGGTCATGCAGCGCTGTATATAAATTAAATTTGTGTTCTTTTTTTCCCACAAATAGAGCTTTGTTGCGGTGGTATTTGATCACCTCTGCGTTTTTTATTTTTTGCACTATAAACAAAAAAAGACCGACACTTTTGGAAACAAAAAACCCAAAAAATTTTCCTATCAAATTTTCCATAGTCTGCTGAAAAAAGACAAAAGTCCATCCAGTTCAACCATTAAAAAAAAAAAAGTTATAATCCTATACCCACTGTTGATCCAGAGGAAGGCAAAAAAAACCCCAGCACAGCATGATCCAATTTGCTCCTGCTGGGAAAAAATTCCTTCCTGATCCCCCGAGAGGCAATCAGATATTCCCTGGATCAACTTTACCTATAAATGTTAGTACCCAGTTATATTCTGTGTATCTAGGAATGAATCCGAGCCTTTTATAAAGCAATCCACTGAGCTGGCCAGAACCAACTCTTGAGGGAGTCTATTCCACATTTTCACAACTCTTACTGTGAAGAAACCTTTCCGTATTGGAGATTACATTTCTTTTCCTCCAGACGTAATTTTCTTTTCCTGATGGACTCCATGGCACATTATGTATGGGTTAGTCCAGCGCTCTCCTCTCCTATAGAACCCCACTGCCATAGATCTTTGCTCCTCACCAGAGGCCGTTTTCCATAACTAGCCTACTCATAGCAGTGGGAGGGTACTCCTGTTGCCATGGAGTCCATCAGGAAAGGAAAATTATGGTAAGTATTTGATAGGAAATTTCAGTTTTCCTGACAGACTCCATGGCAGCATACGAATGGGAAATAACTAGCCATATACACGGTTGGGCAGTTACTCAAAGACTTGAATTTGTCCTGTCAACTTACAGTACTTTCAAACCAAAATTACCAGAGGATAAGGAGGCAGGCTCTACACAGTGATGAGCCATAAAAGTGTTGATTGAGGACCATGAGGCCGCTCTGCAGATCATCTCACGGGCAAGAGGACATAGCCACACTTCTGGTTGAGTGCGCGGTCTCTGCCTCCGGAGGTGCCAATCCCTTAGCTCTGTAGGCCATCATGGCCTGAACGATCCATGCTGCGACTGATCTGGGAGACACCCAGTCTCCTTTACTCTTCCCATGGAAAAGGATGAATAGATGGTCCGACCTACAGAATCATGCTCGGACCTGCAAGTATAAACTTAAGGTCTCACCTACGTCCAGGAGGTGAACGTCATCAACTCCTGAGGCTCTAAACGTTTGTTGGTAGGACAATATCCTGGTTCTCGTGGAAGACACTTTAGGATTAGAACCTAGCATAGGGACGAGGACCACTCAATCTGGGAAGAATGTAAAAAATGGTTCTTTGCAGCCAAGGTTCCTGATTTCAGAGACTCTTTTTGCCAATGCAACCGCCACCAGAAAGGGCTCCTCCATGTTCTTATAGGAGGGGAGAGGGCGGGACTAACCCATATGTATGCTGCCATGGAGTCTGTCAGGAAAAAAATATTTTTGACTTTTTGCTATTAAAAATATCCAATAAAAAATGTAAAAAATCAAATTTCTTCATAAACGTAGGCCAAAATGTATTCTGCTACATTCTATGCTAAAAAAAAAAAAAACAATACATGTAAATTAATTGGTTTACATGAAAGTTATAGTGTGTACAAATGGCAGTGTATATATACTGGAATTTATATTTTTTTACACTAGTAATATCAGCTTATAGATCAACTGCAGGACTGTGGCAGGCATTCTGACACTGGGTGGGAACTGACTAACTGCACTGAGATCCCCAGTGACACTAATACAGTGATCAGTGCTAATAAAAAGCACTGACACTGTACTAATGACACCGGACAGGAAGGGGTTAACATCTGGGGTAATCAAAGGGTTAACTGTGTGCTGTGTGTGTTTTACATTGTGTACTGTGGGCTGTTTTACTACGAAGACATGCTATGCAGAGAAATACAAAGCAGCATGTCTTTGCTGACAGGAGAGAGACCCGTGTTATTTACACACAGGTCTCTCCCATCAGCTTTCCCCCGACGATTGCCGGGTGTCGGCGGGGAATTGCAGCCGGGACCCAGTGATCCAGTGATTGACATCCTAGCCAGCAATGGTGGCGTGGGTAGGGTGGCACGTGTTCCTACCCAGAAATTCAAATCATGTATATATACGTGATTTTGCGTAGCCCTGCCACCCTTTAGCAGTATTGCTGCTATAGGGCGAGGGGCAAGCGGTTGATTAGAAGTTATTTTATTCATCTCAAACATAGAGTGCTTATTGTAAACAAAGAAAACTTTTTTTTTTTTACATTTACATATACTTTTTTCATTTATAGTGCAAAAAATAAAATACCCAGTGGTAATTAAATACCATCAAAAGAAAGCTCTATTTGTGTGAAAAAATGATAAAAAAATTTCATAGGTACAGTGCTGCATGACTGCGCAATTGTCATTCAAAGTGCAACAGCGCTGAAAGCTGAAAACTCCCCTGGGCAGGAAGAGGGTTAAAGTGCCCGTTAGGCAAGTGGTTAAGATGAAGTCCACACCCACACTTATAACTATAGAAGTTTGGATTTATGATGATGTAATTTCTTGGCTAAATTCTGTAGATAGTAGTGCACTGTTTCCAAGAAGGCTGCCCTGCTCTTCAGGAAATGTGACATGACAGTAAGGCTAAGTTTACACAAGCATCCTCCTTTGCTGACCCCCTGAAATGTGATCCACAGTGGACAGATCACCTCCTTATTGTCTGCTTTAAAGCTGTGCTAAACTATCCTTCAATAGTTTTCCCCACGTTAAAGTAGAATTATAGGCTAAACATTTTTTTTTTCATTTTAGATAAAGGAAGGTTATAACCAGTCAGATTTTTTTTTTGGCATCTGTGTCCCATTGCAGAGATTTCCCTTCACTTCATGTCCCATATCCAAACAGGAAGTGAGAGGAAATCCCTGCAAACCACAGGAATTTCTTGGAGAGAACTGTGTCCCCATTGGAAGATTTCCCCTCCATTACTTTTCTGGAGACAACGCAAAATTTGGGATTTTCTTGTAATGGCGGTGATCAGTGACTTATAGCGGGACTTCTGACATGGGGGGGGACTCACTAATTGCCACTGACATCCCAATGACACTAATACAGTGATCAATGCTATTACTAATAACACTGGGCAGGAAGGGGTTAACATCTGGGGCGATCTAAGGGTTAATTGCTGTTTTGCTGTGTGTGTTTTTTACTAGGGAAACATGCTGCTGTGTATTGCTCTGCTATGCAGAGCAACACAAAGCAGTATGTCGGTGCTGACAGGGGAGAGATCTGTGTTGTTTACACACAGATCTCTCCCCTTTCACAGTTCCTCGGCGATCGACGGGGAATCTCCAGCCGGGACCTGGTGATCAACATCTGTAGCTGCCAGTGGCAGAGCAGGTAGGACAGTACGCGCTCTTGCCCCCTACTGGACATGCAAAATCACATATATAGGGGCAGCACAGTGGCTAAGGGCAGCACACTGGCTAAATGGTTAGCACTTCCGCCTGGCAGCACTAGGGTCGTTGGTTCGAATCCCAGCCACAACACCACCTGCCTGGAGTTTGCATGTTCTCCCTGTGCCTGCGTGGGTTTCCTCCGGGTACTCCGGTTTCCTCCCACACTCCAAAGACATGCTGGTAGGTTAACTGGATCCTGTCTAATTTCGCCCTAGTATGTGTATGTATGAATGTGAGTTAAGGACCTTAGATTGTACGCCCCTTGAGGGTCAGGGACTGATGTGACTGTACAATATATATGTAAAGCACTGAGTAAATTGACAGCACTATATAAGTACCTAAAATAAATAAATAATATATATATACGTAATTTTGCACAGCCCTGTAACAGTAGTTCTGCTATAGGGCGGCTGGGAACTGGTTAAATGATAACAGGAAACAGGACAAATAAAGAGGGTGAATCTCATTACTGGGGCACAGACAGCAAATCAAAATGACAGGTGTTCTAATCCCTCTATACTCTATCTAAAAACTAAAATAAAAGCTTTGCCTTTAGTTATATTTTACCTTACATATCAATGTCTTTCATAGAGTCCCAACCTGCACCCTTTAGGAGAAATCGCCCAATGTTCACTGCAATAATGTCACCAACGCATGCGCATTTTGGCCCCCATTGATGGCATGCTCATCCTACCATCAGTCCATTCATCCTGTTGCCATGCATTGCAATCCCATAGGATTGCTGACCCATTTGAGGTTCTCCTGAAACACCTCATGTGACTTGCTATGGCAGACAGGAGCTAAGATGGCGCTGGCTTTGGCTTGGTTACATTGGAAATAAAATATGCCAGAAAACAAGAAACATGCTAGGGGAATCATTAGGATTGGGGGTGTGTCTAAAAAAGTTATAAAATTGTGGCCTTAGTGCTCATGTACACTGCAGCTGATAAACTCACGTTTAGGAGCTGCCCCTGAACTCTCCCTAATATATTTTCCCATGTGTCCATGTACATATCGTCGTTTACAGGCAGTTGAGTTTACAGTCGTTTTTTTGAACGCAGAAAACTTGCGTTCAGCAGTAGATTTTATCAGCGTTTCAAACGCCAAACGCTTGTAACGCATGTAAACACTAGTAAACGCGGCTAAACACGTTTCTAAGCATTTGCGTTTTGGAAATTTTTTTAACTTTTCCATTTCTAGATGCTGTCCAGAGCCTTTTTTCATCATG